CTTAAGCATGCATGCCTTTTGGTTTCAGTAGGTTCTGGAACCAATTCCCTGAAGATACTGAGGTACAACTGGCCAAATTGCAAACAAATGTGGAGAAACACGTTCAGTACTGCCAGCTCTTAGAGAAGCCAAGGGACCACAATGAAATGTCACTGTTCACCTACAAGCACACGTAAAAACAAACCCAAATTTGGAAATTATTGGTTAAGATGTAGAAAGACTGGAATTTTTCACAGATTCCCGGTAGTAATGTAAGTTTTACAGCTGCATCTAGAAAATATTTAAGAGGTATGTTTTTAAAAGCTAACAATAATAATGATGATTACAAAGACAATGGTGATGATAAGTGTATGCCTACTATATGGTATAGGAATTACTCCCATTTTCAACAAATACATGAATATTTACATTTATAGAAACACCCATGTATGAGTGTTCATAGTGATTGTGTAACAAGTTGCTCAAAACCAAAACCAACAGAAATGTCCTTTGTAAACAAGCATGTTACCAGTGTTAAAAGTGAAAATAGCTATTTATACATGGGAATATTTGAAAAGTCAAAGGCATTGTGCTGAATGAAAATGCACCATATCCAACTTTAAAGCACAACGTTTGAAAGATTACCTCATATAAGCTGGAAAGGCCAACACATATTTTTTGCAGTTGTGAATATATTTGTATTTAGGGGAAGATTCTGAGCCATTATACAGCATACTCCACTAAGTCTTCTGGATAGAGGAAATGCTGAAGGGTTGGGTATGTATAGGTTTGGTATACCACCAATCTCCCTTCTAATGGTGATTTTCAGTATATAATAACATAGATAGTGCATCTCACTCATAAGTAAGTTGTCACCTTATAGAGACATAGGCTACTTACACAGAAAACGGTATTTCTTTGAGACAGCCCAAGTGCTTTCCTGAATGCCAATAAACAAAATGTGAGGAGGCTGATCATGGAAGACGCTTCAGACAAGAGGGGAAGTACTGTTTTCAAAATCGTGTAAGATTCAAGGAAGCACTGCATCATGCATGAGATAAGTGCAAAAAAAGAATCTGCTTACATTCAGGAAAAGGTAGAAAAGTGTCACAAAGTTGGATCCATAGTGGCCTTCTTTCCAAAAGATTCTTTCTGGAGAAGCCAGTCAGACCTTATACCAAAAATAATAATGATAACAACAACAACAACAACAATAATAATGATAGTTTCATCACTTTACACTTCTGGGCAGTGGATAATGGAGAACAAGAAAGAACTGTTCTAAATTGGAGAGGGGATTCTTTTCCTTTAGGGTCCTTCCTGAACTAAAATCTTACTGCATGTTTTTCGCTTGTTTATTTTGATTTTTTTCTTTGCTTTTCTGAGAAGGGCAGGGAGATGGATGGGGAAGGAGAAGGAGAGGACATGAATTGAGTGTGTAGGGAGATAGAAAGGTTCTGGGAGCGGTCGGATCAAAACATACTATATGAAAAAGTTTTAAATAAAAGTAAGTTTTAAATTTAGAATCTGAGTAATTCTTCGAGCTGTCCAGCAGAGGGCCTGCTGGTCTCATTTGTAAATTCCTTCTTTGGGCAATGCTCCTCTGTAAGGCTGTTCCTTGGCTTTCCGAATGAACAAAGTTAGTTGAGGTGGGCCACGCTTACTCAAGACCACTCAGAGTCACCTCACGCTTCAAGGTGGATGAAACTTTATGGAGTTTTATCGTGGCTTAGAGACCATGGCTTGCTCTGTTGAGGTCTGATGGAGGGCGGTACTGAAGGCAGAGAGCACAGAGAAAGGGCTGCCCCAGTGGTGAGTGTGTGGGCTCAGAAAAAGGCCTGCCAGTACAAAACGGCACCACTACTGTTATGTCCAGGTTTTCAGCATGGACAGCAGGACGTAGGACATCACCTAGGAATGATTCTGCATCCCTTTGGGTATTATAGCAGTCAGTGAGAAGGTGGCAGGGCTTGGTGGGTATTTCTCAAACTCAGAAGGCAGACATGGGCAATATATGCAATGGAGTAGCTATTCCTGAGGACACGAGGACTCCACCTTTGAATCAAGAAAGCAAAAGTTTCTTTGATCACAGTGTTGATTTTTAACCCACGTTTGCTAAAAAGGCTGGCTGATGTGTGACCTTGACAAATAACTGGTCCTTTTTCATATTGTTCCAAGGAATAATGATTTAAAAATAAAGTTATTGCCCAAGACATCATAGTTTAGGTAAATATTCTGACGTTACCTTCTTATAGCTTTGTACCCTGTACCTAGTTTTCATTCCTTTTTCAACTTCAGAAAACTTCATTTGAACTAAAATCTATCTAACTGATACATTACAAGAGAAAACATAAATTATTTTGATGATTTCTCTTTACTATAAGTCACAGCTTACTACAAAGTGGTTTATACTGAAGCCATGGGATAGTTATTGTACTCTAGCATCCAGTTTTGAAAAAAGAAATGTAATCATTTCCTCTTCAACCTGTAATCCTGGGGGTTTTAGTCTCCTAAATTGGATGTCTTGAGAGAACACTGCGGTTTGTTTTCTGAGGATGTCAAAGGTCTTTCAGTAACAAGGCCCTAAACCATCTTGCATGCCGCTTCTTTATGAGGGTCAAATCCTAGGTGTCCTCCCCTTCACCATCAACTCTCCTTGCGAGGAGGTCTTCGCCACAATTGTTTCTAGTCAACATATTCCCCACGGATGATTGTTTTTTAAAATAATCATGTATGTGTTTAAATCTCTTAACAATGCAGTCCGTCAAATTGATTTCAGGGTTACATTGTAAGAATTTTTCACCATAACCTTATTCACATCGGCTGTTCTGTGTGACTTTATTTCATTCTACGTCAGTTTAATCAAGAGCAACGAATACTGACCTAGTACTCCTTTCTTTGAATTATAGGGAGATACAAACGCTCAGCAGTTGTTGTTTGTATGTTTTGTGCCCCATGTTTCCTGCTTATTTATTCCGAGGTGTTTTATTGTCCTGCATTGTACGGCCAGAAGCTTTGTACAATGTGTATCTCCGTTAGTACTTTGGTTTGTCCCCACTCTCTCCACTTTGTGTTCATGTATCCTGGCTATTTGGTTCTGCTTCCCACTTTCACAGTGTTCAGTGTTCAAGTTTTCTGTGGAATACTTGAATAATTCAGCTTTACATGCATAATGAAAAAAAAAGTTTTCTGTTACTTCTCATATACATGATGTGCTCTAACATAGGTTCCCATTCATTAACATTTCTATCAGCTGTGTGGTGAGGAACTCTTCTACTGTAGCCCAGCAGTACCTGAGATATAGCTGCAAAGTCAGATGATGGTAGCTTCCGAAATTGCATATGTGGGAAACTTTCTCTAGTACACACACACACACACACACACACACACACACACACACACACACACTTTTTTAAAAAGAAAAACCATAGAAATAACCATAAAAAATCAAGTCTCACTAGATCCACATGCCCATTTATCATCATGGTACACCCCTCCTCAGCCGACACTCCATAATTTTACTATTGCCAAGCACTAAAGATAGAGTTACTAGATCGTCAGGGTCCTCTTACCCTCTGAATTTTAGTAAAACGCTGTCACAGTGGATCCTGGGTGAAATTACGTGCATCCGTGAAGGTCAAGGGTGGAGTAGGGGTCAATTCCCTGACAAAGGTGCCTCTGCAATGGCAGGAGAGACCTCACCACTTCGTCCTAAGCCGCAACAGGACCGAGGGTAGTGATCCTTGACTGAAACTTGGGTTGGACATGGAGAACTGTTTGACTTTGGCTTATTGTGCAAAAGAAAAAAAAAAGAAATTGTTGGGCACAGACAGAAGTAAAATTATGGGAAAGGTTATGAAGCAATTAGTGCGGAGTGAAGTTAAGCCTTAGGGGAGACAAAGGCCTCAGAGGCAGCTGTGCAACTGCATTCGGCCAGTAGGTGGCAGGCAAGTTCTATCATTGCTGCTCCCATCGCCTGTCACCCTGCTTTTCTGGAAGAATGGGAAGACATGGTGTTGGATTTCTTGATTCAGACAGGACAAGAGGTGGCAAGCAGCTCTCTGTCCCCGTGGAAAAGCTGTGACCTTTGGGCAGTCTTTTCATGTGTGCTACATTCACATGTACGTGAATTCACCCCCGCCCCTCCCCCGCCTCGGACACCGAGAGGCGGGTCAGCCCTTTGCCAGGTTCCTCTCCTTTGGGGTCCTGTAACTAAAGGCTGGCTGCGGATATTTAGTCCCTCCAGACTTTGTCACCTTTTCCTCACTGTGCATTAGGATTAACCCTTTCCTCTCAGGAGTTTTCCATGGAACTCTACGTCTCAAGGAGGTGCCCTGCAATTTCCTGCCCTCCCCTTGCAATGGCCACCTGTAATCTGCAAAATCCTTAACTTCCTAAACCCTGGTTTTCTTTTTCCATGGTGGGATCCTAGTATATCAGGGGGAACATATTTCCATTCTGGTACCCGTGTAGTGCATTGATGCTTTCCACATTTGAACTACTAGACATCTTTCACCGGGCTCATGACCGACAAGGATGTCTTTGGAGTTTTTTTCCACGGTGGCTAGTAAACCCAGGTTATATGGTCCTGAGGTAGAGTATTCCCCTTTTCCAAACACCCTTGAGGAGATTTTTCTGCTTGGAATTATAATTTTTCCAGCGTGCCACCATATATGCAATTGAATGAACCTATTTATATCTTATAGCCTCACCTACAAATTAGACCTGATGTCTAATTTGAAAAGTTAATGTGAAAATTAAAGCAAAGGGGGGTGTACAGACCCCTCTTAATTTGGCCCGTCTTACTTACGAAGTTTTACTTTCACTTTAAGGAAATCTCTGGCTTCCCCACCCACCACGATCATTACTATACGATGAATGGAGTACTCTTCTGGGAAGCTGTCAGCACCCATGGATTTTACTATCACTGATAATAATCTTGGCGTTTGTGTGTGTGAATCGAGTGTGGTAAAGTCGGGTTCCCACCCAGGTTCAAAATTAGAATAAAGACAAACACTTCATGTTATGCTAAAAGTAAATTTATATAGATATAGATCTTTACTTTTCTCCAGACTGTATTTTACTGATGAGTCATGTTAACAACCAAAGAACATTCTAGTATGATTTCACTTAAACAGAACAAGACGGATGGACTGTCACTTCATTTCACAAAGGTAGCACGACTCTGATACCACAACGTAACAACTAGAACACAAAACAGGGAACCACAGATCTCATTTAAAAATACAGATGCCAAAATACAAAACAGTAGAGCAGCCAGTTTAAATCAACACCTCACAAAAGTGTACAAAGCTTTGGCAAATATAAAAACAGGCTGAAAATTCAAACTTACACACACAGATCAATACCAAAAACACCAGAAAGCACAATGTCCCCCCTCCCCCCATTGTCAGTTGCCTTTGGCCTGGTACCCCACAGGGATAAGTTCATTAGTTCATCTTGGTAACACCTATTAATAAGGATGGGGACTGCTGGTGGGGTCATGGGTGTCATCATCACTGTCACTAGGCTCCTTGTTCGAGTCCTTGTATTCCAACGCCGACAGTGACTCAAGGTACTGGGATGTCTCGTTTGTGTCCTTGTATTCCAACGCCGACAGTAACTCAAGGTACTGGGATGTCCATGTCTGGGCCTGGTTCGCGCAGAGTGCGGCCAACAATCTCAAGATGTGCACCTGGTTGGTCTCGAGGAATGCGCGCGGCCCCCAGAGAAGCTCGTAATTCTGCTGACTCCGTGAACGGGACTTGCCTGTAGTCTAGGTGCCTGTGTTTCTCAAACACAAGGGTGATGAGCTTCTTCGTGCTCCTGAAGAGACCACTTGTCTCGTGGACATCCAGTCCTAACTGGAATAGAAAATTAAAGAGTAAGTTCTCTCTGATACAGTAGCCTTTCATAAAGATAAGGTTCGGGACTACCACCAGGAGGTTGAACTTTGGCCTGTCTAAATAGAATGGTGGCAGACTGCACTGAGGATACCCTGTCTTCCTGACAATGATGTAGGAGTGGGTTTTGGTGTCCACTTCCCTCAGCTGACACCCAAAGGTGCACTCTAGCTTAGCATTGGCCGTCTGATGATGTCTAAGCTCTCATCTTTATATTCTTGGATGGCTGCACTTACCATCTCTGAGAGCTGGGTGGGCACCTTGGCTTGGTCCTTGGCCAAGAGAAACTGCACCAAAGCATCTGCCCTCTCATCTAAGGGAGACAATGGCTGACTCTCCCCATTAGGGACCCCCTGAGCAGCACTGGACCCCCGAGAGACACTTGGGACCTCAGAGGCTGCCCATGGCTGAGAACCCCCTGATCCACTACAGAACCTCTGATCTTGTGAAGTGCTGGGGCCATCAACGCTCCCCCTCGCCCGGGAATCCTAGAGGTATTGGGGCACCCCAAGCCATTCATACCCTGGGGAGTGTAGAAGGAGTCTCGGTCCCCCAGAAGCTGCATTGCCCTTTGGATCTCCCAGTCATTCTGCCTGGTACTCTCACAGGGTCGGGGCCCCCGCCAGTCGCGTGAGGTCATCCTATGGCCACAATCCTCCTCTTTGGGCTCCAGATGCTTCTTCTTCCTGGTGGCTTTGCCAGAGCGCCGTGGTGGCTCTGCAGACTTGGAGGCCTCTGGAATAGTGGCACTTGCCTGGGGGGCAGCTGCTGTCACCATCAGGATGGCAGGCACTGCCTTACATGCTGAGGAGGCATTCACCTCAGGAAATGGAACCCAGGGAACTGCAGGCAGGGCCTCTACACAGGCATAAGGATCCTGCAGAGCAAATGGCAGTGACTTTGGGCTCTCTGAGGTGGCTGATGGACCTCTAAAGGCATTAGAAGAGGCAGCCTGAAAATGAGAGGTAGGTGGAAAGACCCTTGAAGTGGCAGCTAAGTTCTCTGATGTGGCAGGCAAGTTTCTCCAAGCAGTTGGCAGGTAAGCCCTGGACGCTGATGCTGCCCTTGGAGCACAGAATGTGGCACCAATGATCATGCGATCTTTTGGAGGGCCCTTTCTGTCCCTTGCAGAGGACCTACGATCTCTAGGAGGGCCTCTAGGTTCTAGCGAAGAGGGGCCAGGTTCTCCTGACGGAGTCATGTGTGACCTAGTGGGGCCCCTGGGAAAATTTGTTGGTGCTCTGGAGGCTCCGGGCTGTGCCTGCGCTGTTGGGGGTGGGCCTTGCCAAGAAGGCTGCGGTTGTATTGAGGGCAGTTCTGCCTGCAGGCCTGTGGCTTGGGCCTGGTGGGTATGCCTCCGAGTTTGCCGGCTTCTGTGGGAGGCTGGAACTCCCCGAAAGGGCTGCTGCTGCTCCACATGGGTGAGCTGAGTGGCCTGCTCCTGGGCCTCCTGGGCAGGCGCAGGCTGCCAGAAGTGAGTGGGTGCCTTGGGTGCCTGCCAGCCCCTTGCCCGGGCCTGCTGTACCTCCTGGAACTCCAATGACACTGGGAGCTCCTGTGGCTCCGGGACCTCCTGTGGCTCCGGGACCTCCTGTGGCACCGGGACCTCCTGTGGCACCTGGATCTCCTGTGGCACCTGGACCTCCTGTGGCACCGGGTCTTCCTGTGGCACCGGGTCCTCCTGTGGCACCGGGACCTCCTGTGGCGCCGGGACCTCCTCTGGCACCGGGACCTCCTGTGGCACCGGGACCTCCTCTGGCACCTGGAGCTCCTGTGGCACCTGGAGCTCTTGTGGCACCTGGAGCTCCTGTGGCACCTGGAGCTCCTGTGGTGCCGGGGGTTGGCCTCTGGGGGCCTGCCAGATGATGGTTGGGCAATGCATACCTCGGGGACCAGACTGAGGGGCAACCTGTGGCACAGGAATTGTGATAGACAGTGATGCTGGGAACAATGTCTGGGGCATCTGTAGGCCTGCCTGTGGCACCAAATGTATCTGAGTAACTTGTGGTGCTGTAGGCACATGAGGTGCCCCTGGCATCCTGGGGATCAGCAGACGAGTATGTGGAGCCTGGCGCAGTGGCGGCGGGGGTGGCAGGACTTGCCACAGATGAGTCTGGCTTGCTATGCCATGTGTAGCTTGTCTGAAAGGTAGAGGGGCCTGGCGGATCAATGGTGGGATTTGTCGCATCAGTGATGGGGCCTGACGAATCACAGGTGGCATCTGGCGGAGTATTGCAGGCGCTCCAGGTCGAATGGGTGCGGGACCAGGACGAATAGGTGGGAACCCTTGGCGCATAGGAGGGGCCTGCCAGGCTATTGTGGGGGCCTGCAAAGAGACCTGCGTGCCCTGCCAGTTCAAGGGCGTCCCCTGCCAACCCTGGGGGGTCACCTGCCAGTTGGGTGTGGTGGCTTGCCAGCTAGGGCCTGTACCCAGTTGCACCTGTGGGGTTGATGGGGCAGGGGGAACCTGTTGAGGAGCCCTTATGACTTGAGACTGGATTTGCAGGATCAAAGGCTGACCCTGTGGGGCCCACGAAGTCAGAGGCTGCCCTGGGGGCAGCACTGGCTGTGCCATCGGTGCTCCTGACACTGGAGGCTGAATGACTGGAGCTCTGGCACCTGGAGAATGGATCATCACGACACCAGGACCTGGAGGCTTGGCCATCGTCGTTATCGAAGGTGAAGGCTGGGTCATCAAGGCAGCTGGTGGAGCAGGCTGGACCATCGGAGCTCCTGGAGCAGGAGGCTGGACCATCAGGACTCCCGGTGTCAGCTGCTGGGTCATCAGGACTCCTGGAGTTGGTTGCTGGGCTATCGGTGTCCCCGGAATTGGAGCATGCGGCATTGAAGTTCCAGGTGGGGGAGGATGGACCATCGGGGTTCCAGGAGGCAGAGGATGCACAATCGGGTTCCCAGGTGGAAGAGGATGGGCCATAGGGGTCCCAGGAGGAGGAGGGTGGGCCATAGGGGTCCCAGGAGGAGGAGGTGGAGGAGGTGGAGGAGGAGGGGGAGGAGGAGGAGGAGGAGGAGGAGGGTGGGCCATTGGGGTCCCAGGAAGAGGGTGTGCCATCGGGGTCCCAGGAGGAGGAGGAGGGTGTGTCATTTGGCTTCCTGGGGGAGGAGGATGAGCCAAAGGGGCCCCCGGGACAGAAGGATGAAGCATCAGGACTCCTGGAGTTGATGGCTGGGCCATTGGGGCTCCCGGAGGGGGCTGATGGACCATCAAGACTCCAGGAGTTGGAGGCTTGGCCATCGCCCCCCCCAGAGGGGGAGCCTGGACCATTGGGGCCCCTAGGGCAGGAGGCTGGGCCAGCTGAGCCACTGGGGCAGGCAACTGGCCCTCTGGAGCCTCCCAGGCAGCCTGAGGAGCCTGCCATGATGCCAGGGGAGCCTGCAAGTCCACTGGAGGTGGATCCCAAGGGACTGGAGGAGCCCGGGAGGAAGCAGGCGGAGCCCGCATCAGTACTGTAGGGCGGCTATGGACTGGAGGCACAGGGGACTCCGGAGGGCTGGAATCACCCAGGTTCGTACTTAGCTGCGACGTGTCCCTTGATTGACTGCTAGCTGCCCGTCTCCGATTGTTGCGTTTTTTCTTCCAGTGTTGAGAATGCCGACGTGGCGGCCCAGGAGGATCCCCATCCATCGCGAGCTCTGTGGGAAGCCAGCTCCGCTGCCTGGCTCACCCTGCCGCTCTGAGAGACAGCTGCGGATTCTCTCCGCAGCTCTCAGCGAGCGCTGCTTGGCTGGCACCGCAGCGCTCAGCGAGTGCTGCCTGGATCTCTCCGCAGCTCTCAGCGAGCGGAGCGCTGCCTGGCTGGCACCACAGCTCTCAGAGAGCGCTGTCTGACTTCCTCCGCAGCTCCCAGCCAAGTGCCTCCACAGCGCAGCTCGCAGTTCAGCTCACAGCTCGCAGTGAGTGCGGACTGGCTCTGCAGCTCTCCGCAGTAAGAAGGAGGAGGGAGGGGGCTCAATCCCGCCCCTTCCCCGCCCCCGACCACCACAAGTGGATTGTGCAGAGGGGCGTTTACCAAACCATTGACTGACACAGGATTCAGTCTCCTGCTCTAATAGTTTCCCAATTCAACTAGTTCAGCCTCTTTAAGCATGAGTTTACATAGGCAAATGACAGGGACAGATTTATACTTTAGAAAAATCACTGTGCTGCATTATGAAGTGGGGACAGACCACTAGCAACATGGAACATGTCCAAAGGTGGGGGCCGTGGTGTGGTCTGAGCTCAGAAACGAAGCCTATTGACGTAAGCGGGACTGGGGAGCTATACCAGACAGCTATTCAAGTTAACGAAGGTTTAGAAAAATGGGGAGTATATTCATGTATCTGTCTTGGAAAAGTATGAATTTCCAGGGGTAGTTTATTCTCTCAGGGATATATGGAAGGCAGGAGGCACAGGGTAAGAGAGATTAATAAGTACTTGCCAGGCACGGGGCAGTCAACCTGGAATACCCTAGGTGCTCTCATATATCTGTATTCACTCAGAGGATTGGGAGGCAAGTTTGTCCATTTTTTTTTAAAAAATCAAAACAGAGCAACAGTAGTGAACATTGTTGCAAAAGAGTGTGTTAAGAGAGAAAAAAATCTACACTCATCTAGAAGAATAGTACTGACTGCATCATAGAGACAGGCAGAAAAAAAAAACCCGCGTCAGTTAGCAAGGGAAGAAAAGGAATCTTGGAAGTTAAGTAACAGAAATTCATGGAGGCGGCATTTTTAATATGGGAGAATCCACCTGTGAAGTAGGTGAGATGAGACAATAGAGTGTGAAAGACATTCTAAAAATCAAAAATGAAGCAATGAGCCATAAAATAGCAAATAGGCTAGCAGAGACTTACAAAGATAACTAGAAAAATAGAGAATACAGGAAACTTTCTGAAAAATCAGCTCAACAGTAGGACCCATGTCTTGCCGTGTATTGGATCTTTCTTTCTTCTGAAAACTAAGCAGCAATCTCAGTTTAGTCAGGGACTTTTCTGGATATTTACAAGGTAATTAACATTATGGTTCTTTTAGAAGGGGTTGTTTGCCGCCTAGGGCAAGAGTCCGATGTGAGGAAAGGAAACCACAAGGGGGCAGAAGAGGATGATGAAGGCTGCACCCCACTCCTAAGATACCCGTAACAAGTGTTCCTCAAATTTTTATTTGTGGGTCCTAAAGAAGAAATGTGCTCCAGGACTACTCTTTCTGAAACTGATAAGAATTTTGGACTCGGATTTCAGAGAATGTCTAGCCACTAAGAGCATGTTACAACAGTAATTCTTGATGATCTATCACTTTGGTATACATGCGTTCAAGACAGAAATAGCCTTTTGCAGCATGAGTACTGCATTGCTGTGCTGGATTTCAGTCCTTACCTTGGGTTCATAGGCCCCATTTATATAGGAATTGTGACATAGGGGATGAGAATCCTTTGACAGGAACCGACAATAAACACATAATCCCTTTGCTCTCTATTATCTGCTCTGCCACATGGCTGTTTCTAACTGTGGGTGGTGTGATGAAAATTGGTTCATTTTCCTCATATGCTAACTCGCATAAATAAACACATCAGATTAAGTTATCCTGCTAACCATTTGCTTTCTAGAATTGTGACAGATTTGGCTTTCAGTCTGCCAAAGTGTAGGTCATCCCACATGGCAAATGATTTTCAGCAGGGCATGGTTATTCTCACTGACTTCGACATCAATGAATAGTTCTGCCATAGGACATCAACTCCCACCAAACCTGTTTTATAAAAAGAGAGCATCTGATTATGTAAACAGACAACATACAAGGCAGAAAGAAATGATTAGGAATTATTCAGAGAGACAAAAAAAAGATGTAGGTATAATTAGAAGCAAATGATAAATAACTCACAACCTGTACACTGGCCTTTCTTTGGTAACACATGTCAACAACAGGAAAAATTGAGAATTGAGCATTTCGGGACTGTAGAGGGGGCCAGTAACGATGGACACTTCGTCAAAATACAGATCTGTATATGCTGAGCAATTAGAATTCTCCATCTCAAATCATACCCAGGTACCAAGGAGCATATGGTTCCCTTCTGAAACGGACCATGTTAAAAACATAAAAATTCAAGTGTCTCCAGACTAGAGAGACATCTGTACCACAATCCTAGTGCCCTTTCTCTTTGTGAAATCCTCCAGCATTCAGAGTCCCCCATTAGCCTTTTGCGCGAGTACAGCCTTTTGCGCGGTATAGCCTTTTTCCTCAGTAAGTGTTCCTCCTCTACAGAAGGGCTTGAAAATTCAAGGAAATTCATAGAAAACATAATGGAAATGGATATGAAACATTCATGGAATTTTGGCATCTGTCTGTCCTTTCAATAACTTACACCAGTGTATAATAGATGTGAGAAAATAGTTGAACAAACGGAAGAAAGAAAATTCACTCTCATATTATAGGAGCAGTGTTTGATTTGAGAGCTTTGCTTTGGCACACTAGTTAATGTCGAGCGGCCCGTAAGCCGCCGTGGAGTGAAGCTGAGAGCTCTTAACACCAAAGCTGATTCTCTATGTATCCAGTTTGGGTGGTAGACTTCGGATAGATACTCCAAAGCCGGGGGAAGCAAATTGTGATTTTCCCAAGCTCTGAAATCATTTGTTTATGAAATATCTTTTGTCAAACATTTACTAGATGCCTAGAAGTGTGCTATATATAAAACTACAAACAAAAACTCTGTGACAAGATCTTATTGTTATTCTATACAGATATTAATATGATGATTTTAGTGCGAATAAGGAATTATCGTGAAAAAAAACATATTGGTCATAATTGACACAAATAAGTATTTACTTCTGCCTGGGACATGAGTAGTATGTGGCTAAATGTGCATCAATGAAAAAAAAAAACAAAGCTGGAAAAGACTATTGAATGCTTCCAGACAGACAGACTGTGCAAGAAAACAAACAAAACACTGGAGATACCAGACTTTAAAATAGTTGAGAGAAAAATTTTAAGGGCTTCATTAAGATAGCAAAATATTATTTATTGAATGATTGTTACATGATAAAATATTACCTTCATATCTTCACATACTATTTGTTGTTTAAAATAAATCTATAAGTATTTGGTTTCATTTTGTATACAAATAGTGTAGGATCAGAATGTTAATTTATTTGCTTAAGATTTGGCAATAGATGGCAGAATGCAGATTTTTAATATGTTCTGTTTGTAGCCAAAGCCAGCAGTCTTAATCACTAAATTAGTAATGCCCAAACCCTTAAAATTTTTACATAATTAAAATACAATGCACAGATTTAAAATACTTTTAATTAATTCTGTCATGTAGGATATAACATTCAAAGGATATTTTTATCATTAAAGAAAATTCCCATTTGCCACTATAGCCAGTTTTTTCTATCTTCAAAATCAAACATTTCCTCAGCTGGTGTGTGTTCAGTTTGCTTAGCTCTATGTTCATAAATGCCATCAGTACGTATATACTTTTTTTTTTGGTCTAGATTCTGTTGTTTGATGAACTTTTCTAAGATGCAGACATTTTGTTCCTATTGGAAAATTTGTTATCTAACTCTGAAATTGATAGAATTGTATTTGCAACTCCACAATTCATTTAACTATTACCTATTAGTATCTGAGATAGTTATAACCCAGTGTTATTAGTAAATTCCTTTCCTTGTCCTTGGTAACATATGCTTTCATTTATTTTAGCTAAATTACTAGGGGTGAATGGTGAGGTCAAAGGTCTGGTATTTGTTTATAAGAGTCTGAAGCAGTCACTACAGTTGGGTCAGGAAATTTTATCCTCTTTCAGAATATAAAGGGATTCCAGATACTTGCAACATTGCAAATTTTTGTAACTTTAACCTTTTTGATGATAGTATTCTAGTGATTGTGAAATTGTGTTTGTACAATTCTATATTCAGATTGGCAAGTAGTCCATTCTTGCCAAATTGATAGTGATGGACATTTTAAAGTTAATTGTCATAAAAATTACAGATATTTATGGGGTGTGATAATTAGATACATCTATACACTCTGTAGTTACCAAAGAAGAGTCATCAGCATTTCTATCTCCTTAACTAGTGATTATTTCTTTATGTTAAGAGCCACACAATAAATTCATCCTAGTTTTCTGTAAAAATACGGTAAATTATTGTGAATTACCATCATCCTAAAGTACCACAGAATAATAAAGCTTATTATTCTTACCTAACTGTGTTTTGGTAAATGCCGTCTCGCTTCTTTCTATCTCCCTCCCAATCTCCACCGCGAAACCAGCAGTTATTATCCTACTCTCTATGCCTATTACATCAAATTTTAAACCTCTATTAAGGAGAGAGAACAAGTATTTTTCCTTTTGTGCTCGGGCTTTCATTTCATACAATGCCTTCCCGTTCCATCCACGACGCAGCAAATGAGTTTTTTTTTCTTTTTCTCTGGCTGAATCCCACTTTGTGTATATATCATGTTTTTTGTTTGTTTGTTTGTTTTTTTTTAGTCTACTCATTTTTCTGTAGGATCCATCATTAATCCCATATGTTGGTCATTATAAACAATGCAATAATAAACATGAGATTCATGCATTTCTTTTTGTTGTTGTTTTTGTTGGTTATCTAGAGAGTTAATCCATCTGTAGTTTGGAAGACCTGGAATGCATGATGAAGTTCAGGTTAGTTTCTCCTGACAACTCTCCTGTTTCAGCCTCTTGAGTTTTGGGATTACAGGTGTGAGCTATGACACGTGGATATTTATTTAATATATTGATTTCCTTTCTTTGGCAGTATATATTTAAGAATGAGATGGATGGCTCATGTAGTAGTTCTATGGTTCTTGTTAAATTTATATGTGTATGTGTACACCACTATAACCATGCATTCAATAGTGATATTATCCAACATAACTTAGGAGTATGCTATACCATGCAAGTATGGGTAAGAACATTTGTAGTCATTCACACAATGATGAGGTAGATGTCAGATATAGCCTCATTAATAAGGAATGAATGCATTCACATTAATATACAGAATATTTTACAGTCTTAGAAACTCCTGTTCCCTCCCTCAGAATCACTGGTAAGTTCTAGCCTTTATTTACCGCCTCCATGGCATGCCTTTTAAAGAATGTGACATGTTCTCATTTATTGTCCATAAGGGATTGGCTCAAGAGCCTATCTAAAGATATCAACAACAGAAGAGCATACAACCTCTCTCACTGTCAACAACTTCCATCAAAACAATTAATCTGTTACAATCAATGAATTTGTACTGAAACATACTTTTAACCCCAAGTCGTAGTTTACACACCAGGTTTAACTCTTGGTATTATTTGTGCTATGGATTTTGACAAATGTTTAATAGGAACATTGTCACACAGTGATTAAAATGTTTGATATTTCTCCTTCTGTGCCTGGATTAATTCACAAAGTCTAGTGTTTTAGGAGACCACTGGCCAAAACTGCCTTAGTAGATATGAAACTCCAAGTATTCTTACACTTACTCCTTTTGTGATTGTGTAGAGAGTGCTACCATAAAACATATACAATGTTCTACATCTCTCTCTCTTTTTTATTTTATTTTGCTGTTTTGTTTTTCAAGATAGAGTTTCTTTATGTTGTCTTGACTGTCCTAGAACTCACTCTGTAGGCCAGGCTGGTTTTGAACTCACAGAGATGCACCTGACTCTGCCTCCTAAGTGCTGAGATTAAAGGAATGCATCACCACTGCCTGGCTGTGATTCATCTCTTGATGACCTATATCTCATAGAATGTAAATGCAATACAGATGCACATTTGCACACAAACTATAACACACATTATTTTGTGAGATATATGTTAATTCTTTAGGTCATTTTAAAGTTGCTTTCTCTCTCTCTCTCTTTTTGATTATTTTTAAAGAGTTTGTTGCACGTGTTAGGCACAAATCTCTTACTTGATATATATTTGCCTGGTGATTTTCTAGCATTAGATGATGATGACATTTTTATATTTAAAGACGATCTATATATCTTTTTTTGAACGTTTCATACTGCTGCTTTCTTTCTAGCAAGGTTTTATTCCTTCATTGATTTCAGCAGAAATTCATGTTCTTTATTTCTGCAGTGAAACTTTGGCAAGTTTTGACTTTTTTTTTAAAATTCTGACAGGGACTTTCTACATAGCCCTGGATATCTTGAAATTCACTATGTAGACCAGTTGGCCTCCAACCCCCAGTGCCTCTATCTCTTGAGTACTAGGATTAAATACATCTTCACCACACTTGGCACCTTTTCAAAGATGGTTTTAGTTTTTTTTAAAGTTGAATTTCATTTAAGTTGTCAAGCTTATCAACTAAAATTGTAAATATTCTAAATATTTCTTCATTGGCAGTTAATCTCTTAATTGGTAAGCAACTTAAATCTTATAATTTCCCTTTAGGGAAGGGAAAAGATAATAGAATCTCCCTTTGTGACTCTTTTGGCATCTCTATATTAGTCTTCAGTTTCCCTTTGAAATTTTTTACTATTAATTTTAAAACTTATTAATACTATTGTATTGTGTGTGGTTGTGTTTGTGTTGCCATAGCATACACATATGGGGTAGAGGACAATTATTACGAGTCAGTTCCCTCTTTCCAAATTTACAAGAGTTCTGGGGATTGAACTCAGATCACAGGTTTGTCTTAAGTTTCTTTGCCCACTGAGATATTTCATTTTTGTTATGAACTGGAACCTTCCCCTCTCCATCAGCATTTTCTTCTTTTAAAGCCCTTGCCTTAAGACAACATAAGCAATCTCAACAAATGTTTTGTTATGCAGTTAATGCACTACATTCTTTCTTTCTCAATTCCACTATCTTTTTTTTTTTTTTTTTGAGACAAGTTTTCACTGTGTAGTCCTGGAAGTCCTGGAACTCAATCTGTAGACCAGGCTGACTTCAACTCATGGAGATCTACCTGCCTCTGTCTCCTGAATGATAGAATCAAAGGTGTGCACCACCACTGCCTAGCTATATTAGGTAAACAACAACAACACCAAAAACAAAAAACAAAAACTGGCCTGGAACTCACTATGTACACCACGTGGGCCTTGAACCCACAGAGTTGCCTCTGTCCACTGAGTGCTGTTATTAAAAAAAGCATTTGTGATCATGCTTGGCTCTCTTTCAGTATTCTTAATGTGCATGCATAGATCATTGATCTGAAATATTTACTGTTTTATAATATGAGTATTGAAAGTCATGTACTTCTCATTAATCTTTATTATACCTAACATTTTAAAACATTCAACATTTTTTAATTAATTCAAAACTATTTCATATTTTCCTATGTTACTTCTTTGACTTGTGGTCTATTTCAAATTTTATTAATTGCTAAACATTTAAACATTTTATGCCAATTTTAATTACACCTCTTTCTAATTTAACTCCAGTGTAGTAAGATAATATGTATAATATGGCCAGGTATATTCAAATAAATAAATATATAAATTCCCCATACTGAATTTACTTTGAAATAATAGTTTGAGGCCAACCTAGGCTACATAGAAAGGCTGTCTCAGATGCACTCCTGTGCTGGGAGGCAGTTTTAAACATGTTCTAAGCAGATTGCTCTTATCTTAGTTTCACCCTGTTTTTGATTCTGGGTGCTCACTCGCTTATTCTGAGAAGTGTAAAATCTCATGTGGGGAAACTTGTTTATTTCTTCTACTTAGTTTGACTATTGAATTTAATATGCCATCTACTCTTTTGGTATGTTGTCAACATTGCATGTGTTTATTTCTTTCTATTTGACCCCTTAATTGTTATGAAATGCCCTCTTAGATCTGTTAGTGTTTATGATTTGAAAGCTTTTTTTGCTTGACACTAAAAGGGCCACCCTGGCTTTCTGGAGCTTGGTCATTGTATACTTTGTTTATTTACATCTTTTGCTCAGTGTTTTACTGTCTAGAGGTCTGACTGGGTTTCTTTCCTCTGCCAGTTAAATAATTAAAGGGCAGGAAAATCTCAGACACAGCAGGCAGCAATGGTTAA